TACCGAGACCCCGCTTTGTGCCAGACTGCATCCAAAGTAGCATTGTTCCCTTTAGGACTGTGTCTGGGCCAATTCTCAAAAGTAGTTATAGTACATATTGCTTTTTTAGAAGTTGTAATAATAATCATAAACATAATCCTAAATAGCTAAACTTTTCAGTGTGTTTTCTAGGGGCTAGACATTGTTCTTGACACTAGAGAAAGTGTTCTTTCAGTAGTAGACTGAAAAGATGAGAGAAAAACTGCCTTTCAAGAGTTAAAAAGAAAAAGGGCCGGTCCCATGGCTGAGTGGTTAAGTTCACACGCTCCACTTTGGTGGCCCAGGGTTTTGCCGGTTCAGATCCTGAGAGTGGACATGGCACCGCTCATCAGGCCATGCTGAGGTGGCGTCCCACATGCTACAAGTGGAAGGACCCATAACTAAAATATACAACTATGTACTGGGGGGATTTGGGGAGAAAAGTAGGGGAAGAAAAAGAAGAAGATTGGCAACAGTTGTTAGCTCAGGTGCCAATCTGAAAAAAGGGTTAAAACACTAACAAGTAGAGATGCTTTCTATGCCTATCAACGAAAGCCTCTCCCAGCTCTGCTCTAGCCAGCCCCATAAAGGGCCACATCCAGCAGACCCCCAGGCCCCCAGACTTTCTGCTCTGTTCCTGCTCTCCGGGGAGCCCCCCTTGGCAGCGTGGGCCAGAAGGGGGCTGACTTAAATGTTAATGTGGATTAAAATGCATGTACTTTAGAGGGAAACGTTTGCATCTGTGCATTAATCTCCTGCCAAGATCCCAGACTCTTTCACCTACTTTATCTCATTCAGTTCCCTGAAGAACATTTATACCACATTTTGCAGGTGAGAAAAACAAGGCAGAAGGTAATTGCCTCATCTAAAGTTACACAACTAGCTAACCTGAGAACCAAAACCTTAACCAGAAGAGCTTCTGGCTCCAAGTTCAGGAGCCTTCCATAAGCACCCAGCTGACTTAAATTCAAATGCCAGGTCAGGTTGTGTGTCCTGACACACAGCTATAAAATAAAGTTGGGACTAAAGAGGGAAAATAATTAAAGTGAAAAAGTTCAAACCTCCTGTGAAAATCTACCCATTTGGTAGATTTGGAACCACATAAAAATGAAGACTGGGGTGTTTCTTATGGTGCTTTTCCCCAGAAAGTTCTCTAAATGTGTTTTTATTTCATTGTTATCCAGCAGTGTGCTGACCAGTCACCTTGCATTTGCCAAGGCAGTTGGAATTCCCAGTAAGTGTATTCCTTTCCATAAAATGACTCTGTGAATGCTTTGATTGTGTACTTTTCGTGTTAATACATTTTAAAAATCAGAACTGATCATTTGTCCTGACTCTTGCTTGAGAACTACAGTGTGCAGCATTCTGCTCCCCTCAGGTCTGTATTAGGGGAAAATAAAGGCAAAGAAACCCAGGGTGGGGGTCTAGCCAGCCCAAATGCCCCAACCGAGGTTCTTAACCACAGCTACGTGCCGGGAGCATCTCCCTGACCCCTGCCCACGGCCCTGGCTGAAATGGCTTTTTGTAGCTCTAACAAGCTCAATGCATCCAGAGCAATGGCTGTTCCAGGAGCGCAGCTTCCCAGGAAGCACAGACACCCGGACCTGTGCAGGGTCAGAGCCTCCCCACCCGCAGCGGTGTGGACGATAACTGGGAGTCGCACGCCGTCTTCCTGGGGAAACACAGGATGCGGGGCCAACGAGGTGATGGGGAGAACACCCCTGCAGGCAAACCCTGCCTCTGCACTCAGATTTCCTGGGAGCAGCCGGCTGTTTTCTTCACGGCCAGTGACATTTACAGCAAGCAAGTCGCTGCCGCCTCTGCTCAGGAGGCACATCGTCGGCTGCTCTGGGTTCACTGGGAGTCGGTGACTCTGGCGGCTCCAGCCTTGCTGCGTTCACCCCTGGGGGCCCTCTGCCATGCGCACCTGCACTGCTGAGCCCACAGCTCTTGGGCGCCGAAGCCTCCTAGTCGGCTCAGGCGGCTATAACCTAATACCAGACAGGGTGGCTTACGAACCATAGACACTTCCTTCTCACAGTTCTGGAGGCTAAAGGTCAAGGTCAAGGTGCCACCCAGTTTGGTTCCTGGGGAGGGCTTTCCTCTTAGTTTGCACGGAGGGACACAAGAGACAGGAGAGAGGGGGCGGGGCACTGGCCCTCTGTGTCTGTTCTTATCAGGCACTAATCCCACGATTTAGGCCCCACCTTCCCGACCTAACCACCTCTCAAAGGCCCCACCTCCTAAGACCATCAGCCTGGGGGTTACAATTTTGACCAGGAGTTCTGGGGGGACACAAACATGCAGCCTCTAACAGGAGCTCTCGACCGGCTTCCAGACCTGTGATGAGCATCAGAAGCCCCCGTGGAACTTTACAAAGAGCCACACACCTGGGCCCTGTGGTTCTGCCTCCGCTGGACGCGGGTGGGTCCAGGACCCCAGCTGAGCAGCCCTGTGTCAGGATTCACCCTCTTGACATGGCCCCAGGTGGGACGGGGCTGGGGACTGCCGTCACAGCGTTAGATCACTAGGCAAAGTGGGAAGGAGCCTATGCTGAGAAGGAGTTTGGGGGCAGTGGGGAGGGGAAGAGAAGCCGCAGAGATGATCCCCTGGCCACACAGCCAGCCTGGGGCTTGAAGCCGCCCACGTCACACAGCCAAAGAGCCCTCGCGGGCCCCAGACTTCCACGCACTGCCCCATCTAATCCTCACCAGGACCCCTGAGAGAAGGAATTACAAGCATAGATGCTTTTAAAGATGGGGAAACCAAGGCACGGAAGGGTTAAGTGACGTGCCCCCTGTGACAAAACCAATAAATGGTGTTAGCGAGATGGAACTTCAGACGTCTGATCTCAGATTCGGGCCTGGAGCCCCCGGACCAGGGGAAGCACAGCGGACGCTGGTGGCTTTGGGAAAGGCTGAGCCTGGCGCACCTTGAGGAAGAGCACAGAGAAGGCGGGGTGTGTTTCTGAAGCCTGGAGACTCCTCCCAAAGACAGGAGGAAAAACTAGACCTCCCACCACAGCGGTGGCCCACCAGGAAACTCCGAGTGGGCCCGGCAGACGCGTTTGCTCTGCTCTTAACGTGCTTCCGTAGGATTGCCCATGAGGCTCAGCCTCAGCAATTTCTACAAGGAATGAGACACACTACACTGCAAAAGCACAAGGAGCAGGATTGAGGCCATGTTGGGTACCAGAGGCTTCAACACAGGTTTCAGAACCCAAAATGTAGGACAAATTGCACATGTTACGAGCCAGATGGCACTTGTTTACCAACTGCAGAGCGGCAGCACAGTAACCATCATGGTTTATATGGCCATTGGTTTCAGAAATTTCCAGCTAAACTCCCCCACCCACAGCTGCTCAAAGAACAGTTTCCAAATCAAGTTTTAAAAATAGCTGCTCTTCCAATAACTTAACATCCTGGGCCTCCATTCTGAGCATCCCCAGATGGCTGGGCAGGCTGGTGCTTAGCATGGGGCAGCACCCATGGGAGGCAAGCCTAGAGGACTTCTTGGAGGAGGTGCATCTGTAAACTACTTACTACTCATTTCCTATGAAGAGGTGAGAATGGAGAGTTTAGAAACATTTGCAGCCATGTGACATTGCCGGGACGTCCAACTCCTGGCTGACCAGTTCCAGTATCCCATGGCCATTAGCACGCGGCCTGAGCCGCCTAAAATTTCTGTGTAGTTGACGTTTGTCAACTGTAATCCAAAACGGCAGAAATTTGGAATTGTCTCCTCAAAACATAATTTTAACTATAATTTATCACGATCGATTGTGAAGATTGACTTCTGATGAGGGATTGGAGAGGAATGAAGCATGGCTTGCTTCAACTTGGACAAAACTTAAAGACCAGCCTGCGCTTGCTGAGTCGACTTCACAGGCTCCTCCCGGATCCCCGTCCACACGTCTCTGCGGTGTTTGTCTAGCACGAGTGTTCTTACAACGAAACACACAAATCATTTAGGTAGACACGTCTCCCTACGGGGAGGGTGGGTACTCAATCAGACAAGGAAGAAATAATCTCACTTGTCACATTAAAAATGTCAAATACTGAATCAACAGTGTTCATTTATTGTATTATATGAAAGTACTATTTTGTAAGGGTTTGAAAATTTCAAAAAAACAAAGACTGAACTTTACCACAGATAGTTTGAGAGACATGGCCCTAAAGGGAACTCTCCTGGCAGGATGGGAAAGTGGCGAGTGTGTGTGTGTGCATGTGTGTGCGTGTGACGGGGTGGTCAAACACAAGGGCAGAGGGATAAAACCGCTCCTTTTCAGCAATAGAAACACTCCTGCGTTGGGTAATCACATACTGCATAGTCCCTATGATAAACAAAAACATTTGTTTCCATTCTGGTGGAAACAAAAATAGACCTCTTCCCTTTCCGGAGCCAGCTCTGCGACAGGCCAGGCAGCACAGGGCCAACATCACGGAGGGCTGCAATCTCGGGGTCGACCCGCGGGGGTCCGATATGCCCTCACAATGCAAAAGCCAACTGTTCTGGAGGTACAAGCCGCAAAGGCCCTGCCGCCCGCCCCCTCCACCCTCCCTTGCCCCCTGTCTCACCCCGGTCTTTGGAAACCTGACCGGAGGGTCCTGAGCTTCAGTGAGACCCTCGCCACGGCAGAAAACGACAGGGCCTCCGCCAGTAAACAGAAGCCAACTCTCTTTTCTTTTAGAATCTAGAAGTCCAGGACCAGCCCCGTGGCCGAGTGGTTAAGTTTGAGCGCTCCACCTTTGGCAGCCCAGGGTTTCTCTGGTTCGGATCCTGGGCGAGGACATGGCACTGCTCATCAGGCCACGTTGAGGTGGCGTCCCACATGCCACAACTAGGAGGACCCACAACTAAAAGTATACAACCATGTACTGGGGGGGTTGGGGGAGAAAAAAAGTGGGGCAGGGGGAGAAGAAACAGCAATAGCTTGCCAATGACATTCTGGTCATGTCCTGGATATGTCATTTGTTTCTTCAGTTTAAAAAAAAAAAAAGAATCCAGAAGTCCGAGGCCAGCGCACCGAACTTTAGTTTTAATTTACTTCTACCACAAGAGTGACTGACGTGGATTTTTTTTCTTCCTGCCAAAGAACACAAATGCAAAGTGAGTGGTTCATATATATGATTAGAGGGGCCCCTTTGGGAAACTCAGAGTCATGTGGAAAAATGCCAGCGGTGATGCGTGAAGGGGTGGGAAGAGCAGGCCGCTGTGGGCCTTCAAACGACAGTGCTCAGGGGTCACAGAATTGAGATCATTCCGTCCCTCACCGTGCTCCCTCAGCGTGAGCCAAGGGCAGACCCCCTGCGAGGCCTGGAGAAATGCAGCCAAACGAACTTAAGAAGGCAGCTCCCCTTGTCTGGATCAGAACGGGGTTGGGCAAGAAAAGAGAAATTGCTTGGAATTTGTCGATTTGTGATTTTTTAAAACTTCAGACTAACTTGTCTTCTCCGATCTGTAAACTATCAACGTCATGTCCTCAGCCTCTCTCGGCATCCTTCTTTCTCTCCCCTTGAGTGTGATTCTGAAAAGGTGGCCGTGGTGATCCCGTGAGCACTCACTGTGTCCCGGAGGTGGAGCAGAGGTGACTTGCCTCCAAGGGGATGCCTGGTGGGTGCGGTTTCACCTGCCTGTCCGGGGCCACGAGAAGGTCATTTCCTTCAGGATTCGTCCCTTGCAGAAAGGCTTCCTCGGGAACTCCACTGATACGCCAATCTGCCCAAGTGACTGGGTCTTCACTCAGTGACAGAGGCACCAGCCTCCGATCCTGCCTGTATCACTGCCGACCTCGGCGCTTGCTCGACTGTGAATCCTTCAGTGGCAAGACGACCCGGCGGTGCCAAACCGACAATTTCCCGCTGGAAGGAAGATGTGCCATGGTAAGTGGTGACATGCGCCTAGAGCACAATCCATCCAATCAACGGGCTCCTCAAAATGAAAAACCCTACGAGCTGTCCTTACAGGTGCTCTCGGGTAAAAATTATACTCCCGAAAGATGCAACTTTCCTTTTTTCTTGTATTCAACTCCAAAAGAAAGGGAACTCCTCTTGGCTGGCTAGGCCAGGCTGGAAAATCCACCTTCCCCCACCCCGAGCCCATGCACGCCTCACACACTCGCTCGCTCACACCCACAGGCTCACTTAGGCATGCATGCTCACACACGCACAACTCTCAGTCTTGCATACAGTCTCTTGTGTGCACACTCAGTCATGGGCACACACTCAATCACACGTGTGAGCAGACACACTCACTCATGTGCACACACTCACATGCACGTTCTTTAACGTGGTAACGATTTGCAGGGAGAACAACTGGAACTTTCTTATCTGACAGGCGAGCACACATGCTTTCTTCAGAGAGTAACTGCATGTTGGGATTTGTGCTGTTTACTGACGGAGGGTCCCCAAAAGTAAAACGCTCTGTACCCCCTCCCTCGTGTCATTTTAAAAGGGGTGACAGGTCAGAGGCCACGATGGTATCTTCAAACCAGAACAAATCACACCGGAAGGGGAGAGAGGGAGGCTCGCCATCAAGGATCCCACACTCAGGAGACCCTAAGTCTCAGTGATCGGTCCTGAGCACCGTGAACACATCTCTGCTGTAAAACGCTGAGGGGGAAATTGATCCAGGTCGCTTCTCCCTGCCAGCATTTGGGAGGCCAGGAGCAGCTACTTCCCCGCCTCCTGCAGTTCCCTCAGTGAGGCCTGGAGGAGGCGCTGAAGCTTCCAGAACACCTTGGGGGCCGCTCTCTGGGGGTCCCCAGCCGGGCCCCCCGGGTCTGCGCATTCCCGCACCGCCTCCCGCAGCTGCCGCTGAAGCTGGAAGGAAATGGCAGAGCTCTTGAGGGTCGAGGAAAACCAATGGCGGAATATTTTGTCACAGACGACCTGAGGGGAAGGAAGGTGAGTGGTTAGTGCAGGGCAGCAGGTCATCCTGGAAAGCTTCCGGAGCAACAGGGTCTTACACAGACCCTCGTGCTTCTCCCACCGCCCTGGGTTCCTGCAGGGGGGAACCACAGAGCTCCTTTGGTTCTAAAAGGCGCCTTCCCTTCTGGGACCTAAACTGCTCAGCGCCATGAAGAAACCGCCTCAGAGAGGAGAAGGCCACCTCCGTATGAGGTAGAAAATTCCATTTCTAGCCTCAGAGCATATGGGGAAAGTGCTGGGTGACATTTCAGAAAGGACTGAAGACGTTTCTGAAGAGAAAAGGGAGCAGAAAGTCACAGGCAGCCGCGGCTGCATAAGGAGTGGGCCCCTGGGCAGGCCTGAGGGCAGCCAGCCTGGCTCTGCCACCACACTGCTGAGGCCGGGCTTTCCTACCCATCCGCTGGTCACAGTGACAGTGACAGCCGCCTGACAGGGGTGTCCTGAGGGTCAAAGGATGCTGTGGTGAGAAGCAGTATGCAAACGTGACAGCACTTTGGGGTCAGGAGAAAGGGATATTGGAAGGGAAAGGCTCTGTTAAGGAGCCTTTGAAATGTTGTATTTTAGGAGCAGAAGTAAAAATTAAGCCACGATCTCACAGCCTTTAATTCTAATAAGGTATGAAATTCACTAATGGTGAAAATCTCCTTAAACGCTCAGTTTAAACATGTTGTTTGTTTTATATCTTTCATAGTTTCCCCCCTGTTGAGAGAATTGTACTGGGAGCTGCATAATTAAAGAGCTTCATTTTTCTGCATCCCACTTTATATTAGACTCATTTAGCAAACGCCTCCGTTCTCAGAGCCACTGTTTCATAGAGGACACATAACTTTAATTTCCATTTCCCAGTCCCCGCAAAGGCGAGGATTCTTTTGAAAAACAAATTCTCTTATTTCATTTTTGAATTGATAATGTATTTTCACGTGCAAAAATTTAAAATATCCGGAAAGACAGACGGTAATCTTAGTCTCTACCCAACTCCTGACAGGCAGACACTCAGCTCCCAGCTCTGAGAGGCAACCACTTCCTTGCATATCTTTCTAGGGAGAGTCTACCCGCACAAGAGCCTACGTGCACATTTCCTTTTCCTTTTACGTTACACAAATGGCAGCGTATCACACACACTGGTCCAGGGCTGCTGTTCCCTTTTAACCAAACATCAGGCAGAGCCTTCCACACCAGTTGGTACAAGGATACTCCATTTGTTTTCATGACTGCACCTCAAAGGCGTGAAGGTATCATAAGTCATTTAACTAGTTTCCTACTGATGGAAATTTAGGTTCTTTACTAACTTTTGCTATTATGAACAATGCTACAATAAATATTTTGCATATGGGGCTGGCCCCATGGCCAAGTGGTTAAGTTCTCGTGCTCTGCTTTGGGGTCCCGGGGCTCACCCATTTGGATCCTGGATGTGGACCCACACACCACTCATCAAGCCATGCTGTGGTGGCATCCCACACAGGAGAACTAGAGTGACCGACAACTAGGATATACAACTATGTACTGGGGCTTTGGGGAGAAAAAAAGAAAGAAAGAGGAAGATTGGCAACAGATGTTAGCTCAGGGCCAATCTTCCTCACCAAAAATAATAATAATAATTAATTAACAAATAAATATTTACATATATGTCATTTTTATTTTGCACGTGTGACTAAATTTCCAGAAATGGAAGTTCTGGGCCAACAGGTTTGCGTCTTTTTTGTTTTGATAGATATTGCCAAATTCACCCCATAAAAGTGGTACTGAGTTACACCTTCCTGGCAACGTTCAACAAGAATGTTTATTTCCCCCATGCCCTCACCAACTTGAGTTCTCTTTCATTTTTGCCAACCGATGGGTAAAAATGGTTTAATTTCCATTTTTCTTCTCATCAGTCAGGTTGAAAGCTATTTGTGCTTCTTTTTCAGTGAATGGTCAAGTTCACATCCTTTGCCCATATTACTATCAGATTGTCAGCCTTTTGCATATTAATTTGTGGATGCTCTTTATATCTTAAGGATGTTAGCCCCTTGCTTAGGTTGGTTTCCTGGGGAGCAGACTCTAAGATGGTGGTTTGCATGCAGGATTTATTGAGGGAGGTTCTGGAGGCCCACACCTCCGTGGAACTTCAGGAGAAGGCAAGCTTCTGGTGCTGGGATGGCCTACAGAGCTGTTCCTCATCGAGGCCAGTGGGCTGGGCTTTGCATATCCCCCACTCCCACTGACCAATCACTAGATGCTGCCCCTGGGATGAGGGGTAACCATGGTGAAGAAGCTCTGGTGGGCCCAGGACAATCCTGGGGGACCCTCTCTGAGCCTCAGCCTCTGGAGGTAAGGGCCCCCTCTGTCCTCTACTCTCCTGGTCTGTAAGAGCAACTGCAAATATTTTGCCAATTTTCTCATTTAACTTTTTAAAATTTTCTCGTATTTTTGGTAATTTTGTTTTAGCCATGTGGATTTTTTTTAAGGTAATTAAATTTGTCATTTGTTCCTCTTATGGCCTCTGAGCTTCATTCCATACTTAGAAAGACCTTTCTCACTCTGGGATAGTTTAGATTCTCCCAGGTTTTTTCTGGTACATTAAGGGTTTCATTTTTCACGTATTTGAGCCACCTGGAATTTAGTTTGATGTAAGGAGTGAAACAGGAGTTAATTTGATCATTTGTGCCTGGCTACCCAGTTTACAAGCACCATCCACTATATAACCCAGCTTTCCCCTCACTGGTCTGAATGCAACTCTGTCACATACTAAATGTCCATATGTCATTAGATCTATTTCTGAAATTTTAAAAATTCTATTCCTTTGATCTGTCAGTTAGTTTATGAAGGCAGGGACTTTTTTTGAGTAGAATTTTAAGTTAGAAAAGTAATATATAACCACTGTAGAAAATTTACAAAATATAGAAAAGATGAAGAAAATAAAAATTATCTGTAATCCTATCACCCATAAATAATTGCTTTGGACATTTTGTCGTCTATCTTTCCAATTACACACTCTTTAACAAAAATGGAATCATATGGTGAATACTGATTTGAAACCTGCATTTTTTCACTAAATGAATGTTTCATATTTTCTCATATCCTTAAAGAAAGTATAATTTCATTTCTAGGGCTTTATTCAAAGGCAATAATCAAAATATGCACAAATGAAATTGCTCAGCTAAACAGCGTGAATATTTCTGAGTCACACTCCAGAGAAACGCAGAAATTTACAATCACGGTAACAATATGGACTCATCTACTTCCCTGAGGCCTCATCTGTTAATTAATAGCATTTTAACAACTATTCCCAATAGTCAAAAATGAAAAATTATTATCATTGGGTTTTAATTTGCATGTCTTTTAATAGTAAGATTAAATAATTTTCCAGGTTCTTTGGTCACTGGATTTCATCTCTTGTGTATTCGTTATACATTCTTCTCTTGCCAATTTTGTGTGAGTGGCCCCCTGGCCTCTTAACGGATCTGTAAGAGCCCTTTATATATTGAGGATAGTAACCTCAGTCTCTCATTATGCTGCAAAGGGCAGGTGTTAGTGCTTCCCCCTTGTGGGATGAGGTCACAAGGTGGGCGATGCTCTAGTGAAAAAATCACCTTGTTCCCACAGCTGAAAAAGAATGATTTTATTGCAGACCCACCGAGGGTGGGATTTCCCTAACTCTAGACTCAGTCTGAAAGCCTGGACCCAGGATCCATTCCTATTTGTCGCTGATCTCCTGGACTCGTGACACATGTTTCCTTCTCCCTCTGTTAACCACCCACTGGCCCCACCCCTCCCTGCCTCAGCTGTAGTATCTGTGCAGCCTCTCTAGTTTGGCCAGTTTCTCAGGACTGCTTTGCACTCCTTTCAGTCTTATCCTTGATGGATAGGCCTCTGGGTGCTCATTCTTTGTGTGCGTGTGTGTGTGTAGACGCGGAGACTAGACCCAGAGAGAACAGCTATCCACGCCCCCATAGCTGGGGGGAAGCCCAAGAATGGGCTTTGCTGGGATCTCCAGCCATTAGACCCCATAGGGTCACTTGGCCAACAACCTCATGGGGTTGACAACGAAGAACAAATGCCCACCCCATCTGCACCATCCCTGACCTTACTGAGCCCATGGAGCCCAGGTGACACAGAAGGGGTGACCTTCAGGTACATTAACAGGACGCTACAGGGCTAGCAGGCAGAGGCAGCCAGAGGGAACATGGTCCGCCCCAGCCCGTGCAGCCGCTGTTACTCACCTGCAGGTTGCTGTTGACTCGCTGTGCTCCGCACTTGTTGACTCGCAAATCACACTTTGAAAAACAGTCAAAGAAATTGCAGTCTTCATCTCCTGTGCAATTCTGCTCAAGAATTTCCCTCATTTTAGGCTCAAAAAACGCCATGTCCACATCAATAGCCACCACCTGTAGCCAAAACAGCAGAGGGTTATCCAAAGGACACCCTGGGTGCTTAGCACAGAGGGAGCCTGTGCAGACCCTGGGTTCCCATGTTGGGGTGCAGGAGGTACAGACTGCGGGCACCCCAGAGCTCTGCCAGCAGGAGAAGGAGTTCAGGCCATGTGGGGAGCTGCTTGTTTCATCTACACAAGCAACTGGCATAAATTCTATCGCAAGAGTTTAACTGAAAAAAGGACCTTTGCTGTCACTAATGAAAGCCTAGGATTTGGGACTATAACTAGAAGTGTTACTTTTCATTTTAAACCTTTTCTCGGCTTTAAAAGTAGAATCTCTGAAATGTCTTAAAAATGAATTAATTCCCCCTCCATTGCTTTACCACTGTGGTCTTTTGACCTTCAAGAGTCAGGAATATAAAAGCTGTGAGATACAGAGAATCTACCCCCATGACTATAGGCAACGAAAGGAAACGACACTCAAGGGGCAGGTGTGTGGGCGTGATGGTGAGGATGAGGTGGATGGCACCTAAGTTATCTGTTTATAGCATGTCTGTTTCCTGAGTCAACTAACTTCCAACCCACTGGTTAGATTGAAACGTGGGGGCAAATGGCAGCGTCCAAGTTCTCAAATTAGGGTTGAGAACATGGGGACCCTGATCCAACAGCATCAGATACTAAATCCCATCGTCAGCATGAGAATACGATGACCCCAGGGAATCGCAGATTTATCTTCGTGGCTTCAAACCAACTAAGCTTCAAAACCAGAAAAAGAATAACATCTAAATTATGCAGATATTCCTCCACCACCTGAATTAAAAAAAAAAAAAAAGAGGAGCTCAAACCTGAGAAAACCTGGAGTCTGCCCAAATCAAGCAGTTGTAGCTTCGAGCTATTAAAAAGCTACTAGAAGTCTTGATGAATCTGGTGGCGTCGGAGGCATTACACAAGCCTTCACAGGTCAGTCTGAAAATATCAGCCCTCCCTTCTCCCTTTGGTAGCATCTCAAAAGAGGGTTCGTTTGTCCGTGTCCATTTCCTCCTCAGTTCTATGCGATGTTGGGAGGCACGTTCCTGGGTTTGGGTTTTTGTTTTTCATTCAGGATTGACGCCGGAAGGCAGTAAATTTTCTTGGGGATTAGTCAGGACAACAGAGGAGGGAAAATAATTTATTTCAGAAAATAAAGAAAGGGGAAGTTTTCCCGATTTTAAGAGCTTTGCCTAATTACTAATTCAGGCAGAGCAAACAGAAATTATCCTTTTAATCAATTTTTCCTAACTCATTCTTTAGCCATAAGCAATAGCTCATTTCATTATTTACACTGGTTAATGCAGTAAAAATGTGTGAAGCTATGCTAATGAATCTATTGTCTTTACAATTTATTATTGGGGCCACAAGACCCGTCTGGTCTTTCTATAGTTTCTGGCAATCTCCCCAGCTTCCCCTAGGCCCACAGATGGAATTGCAGCTCCTTGCAACTTCTCTCTCCCATTTCTGATGGTTCCCTTCTCATTTCCCAGGGAAAGCGAGATTTATCTTTTAATTTTTCATGTATGGCGCAGAATGGCTGCAGCTATTGTAAGCCTGACTTTCTGCACCTGAAATAAGAACAGTAACAACACAGACAGAAATCCCGCATGAGGCTTCTTAAATAGTATCAGCAGAATCGTAACATTCTTCTTGTGTGAAATTACCTAACTTGCATCGTCTTCTTCAAATTTCATCCTGGCATCAGACTACAAAGGATGGATGAGCATTATTTCATTCTCCACTGAAAAGTGTGGCTCTAGAGTAGGAAACACGGCATCTATCTGGAAGGAGTACTACTGGCAATAGTTTGGGAGCACGAAGTAATGATGTTTCCTAGTGGTTCGTTTGCAACCACTGGATAAATTGTCAAGACCTGCAGTGGGGACCTGGAGAAAGCGAATGGCTTTGCATCATCAATTCTTCCATGTCATCTGAGGGACACCACCTGCTTCCACCCAGGCAACACCACCACAGGGGCGAAAGAGAGGACCCACCTGCTGGTCCCTTAGCTCCCTAGGGCTCAAACTTGACCACGAATCAGAATCACCTGGAGGCTTGTTCCTAAAACAGTAGGTCTGTAGGTCTGGGGTGGAATCGGAGAATTCGAATTTCTAACAAGGCCTCAGGTGATGCTGATACTGCTGGTTTTCACTTAAGAGTTGCAAACTCATAAACTTCTTGAACCTCAGTGTCTGTAAGGAAGGCTTAGCCAAGAGGAATTCTCCGTCCTCCCTTCCGACTCTCACCCGAGTAAGTGCTCAGGCAGAGGTAAGGCCTGTGTGCTCTGGCGCCGGTCCACAGGACAGAGTTTGGGTCTAGGTCAAAGAGTGTGGTCATGATTTCATTGAACAAATATTTCGTGCCTATCGTGCGAAAGATGCTGGAAAGCACAGCTCAGATAGACCACACAAGCGAGGAACATCCCACACTGCCCACTCCCCAGGGAAGACCCACCAGCCCCACCTCCCCCGTAAAGCCTTTCTTTCCCGGGAGCCCAGCCCATAACTCCCTCAACTTTGGTGGCACCTGTTGAGTTCCCTCATTGACACTTCCTAATGTTTGCTGGATGGAAAAACAAGTGATCCAACGATGAGAAGAGCTGGCCCCGAAACTGCCCAAAGCCAGCAGTTGTGTGTGGACGCTCCACACCTCCTCTCCCAAGGCCTCAGGGTGGCTGCATCCCTGGGACTTCTCTGAGGAGCATAACAATGGGCCCTCATGTCCATTACATAATCTTCCTGCTCATGAAGCTGGGAAGCCTGGCTCAGGAGCTCAGCTCTAAGAAGGAAGCTGGATTAATCTGGGATGTCCCTCCCCTTCACAACTCGTCTAGAGGGGTCTCCTGGAGCTCAGGGTCTTGCAGACAGGGATGAGCTCCTCCAGAGCCCACTGCCCAGTGTGCAGATCCTCCTAGAACTTCCCAGAACCTGCTGGAACCTCTCAGCTCTTTCCCTTCCACACTTCAAGCCACCCCTGGCTTATCAGCCCCTCTGGGGCAGCCAGGGCCAGGGCATTAGGACAAAGTTTAGGCAAGATGCTACCACACCCTTCACAGTGACAAAAACTTGATTGGAAAAGGGATTTATACTGTTGGCAAATTTAGTTTTCTAGATTTCAGGCTGTTTTAAGAAGGCATTCCTGTGCCACCCGCCATGGAAGCCCATGGCTGGCAGTAGTAGTACCTTCTTTTTGTCCCTTTATGTTTTTAACCCAGATGAAGAGCATTGTTCCACCATGAGCTGGCCCCTACAATGACCAGCCCCCTGAGGTGGCCGGAGTTAAGCTGGCCTGACCATTCACCTGCTAGCATTTGCAGTGTAACAGCAAACTCCTTGCGGCAGGAGGAGTGACCCCAGACAATGACACAGTCACACCTGCGGCACCCCAGATCATTGCGGCATTAATCTGACACTGGGGTCTAGCGTAGCTGGGAGGGAGCGGAAGGAGGTTATCTTATAATAAAACACAGGAGCCCCTCCTGCTGCTGCCTCTCCACCTCATGTAGCTCTTGTACACCTGCACTGCCCAGAGAGGGAGGGAATATTCACCTGCCCTCTACAGAGCAGTGCAGAGGCAGATATTTCCACCTGGCAGGATTTTCCCTTGCAGATGGCACCAAAACTCCAGTGGACGTTCCAGAAGTCTTACCCACAGAAGGGAAAGTAACAAGAACCTCTCCAGGAAGAAAGTACTAGAAAGAGTTGCACATTATCATAAAGCATGGGCAGTTTGAAAACAGCGTCCCCCACCTGGGACATTGTACAAATGCCCCCCAAAGGCCATCGCTCCTCATCACCCCCCTGGCTCGTCATCTCCTGAAGATTGTTTCTGTGCTCAGCAAACGCCTGCTTCCAAATAAGCTCTAAGAGGCTTCAGAGCAACCAGAACAGCCCTGAGTGAGGACACATCTCCCCTTGCTGGCCTTCTACCTCAGGTCCTAGAGGCTGTCCCTTACAGCGCCCACTCCTGTAGGGCATAAGGTGCACTTGTTCTGCAAGTTCTCCCATTAAAACCCCGAAAGGAGGTGCTGCGGCAGGTCGGGGTTGTCCAGGCTAGACGGTTGCATAACGTTACAATGTTTTCCTGGGATTCCAGAAATCCTCTCATCTACAACCACCTAGACCCAAAAGTTCTGTCCTCCCCGGCAGAAATACAGCCCCCCAGAGCCACTCACCGTGAAGTCACTCCTGATGGCAAAGTTTTCGGGCTTGACGTCGCAGAGGTGGAGGCGGTGGGAGAAGTCGTTGTCAAAATGGCTCACCATGTCCAAGAAGCTGAGCGCCATGTCGCTGATGGCCTTGGCCTGGCCCCGGCCACCCGGGGAGCCACCCGCGGCCCCGTCAAGCGGGAAGAGGGCCCTGTGGCGGGGGCTGCCGGCCGCCAGGTACTCCACGGCGTAGAAGTGGCCGCAGGAGCCCAGCACGGGCAGGGCGTGCCGGCTGAGGTCCCGCAGCAGGCTCAGGAGGACGAACTCCTCCTGCTGCAGCAGGGCCCACAGGCTGGCGAGCTGGCGGCGCCAGCGCGGGCCACGGCCCCGCGGCCACAGCGCGCCCAGGCGGCTGCGGGACAGCTCCAGGCCCAGGGCGCTCCTGACCTCCCCGGCCACCAGCAGGAGCAGCTCGGCCTCCAGGACGTCCTGGCCGCCCTCCTCGGCCGGGCCCTCCAGCAGGCTGAGCGGCGGGAAGCTGGCGAAGGCCTCCTCTTTGGACTTGAGGATGACGGGCCGGCCGCGCCAGTCGGCCTGCAGCACCTTCTTGCCCCTCTCGTAGTACAGGCAGCGCCGGTACCGCAGGCGGCCCGCCGCGCACAGGTCCTCGCAGAGGTCCCCCGCCAGCGCGCCGCCCTCGTAGTCCTGGCACTGGAAGGAAGGGGACAGTGGGTCACAACCCGCAAGGGGTGGAGGACAGGGATGGAGCTGGTCCCTGCACTCAGGACGCTTCTAATCAGCTGTTGAGAGAAACCTCATGAATGTGACCCCCACAGGCTTTCAGGTCAGTGAGTAACGCAGTGAAAGACTTAAAGGAGAGTCTCAGATTTATGATGTTACTCCAGCGGGCCCAGGGCCAGGTCTGCAGAATCAGGACATCCGGAGGCCAGCAGGTCTGCCGCCAGCCGCTGTGTGATGCTGGGAAGAGGCTTTCTGCCACCTCAGCTTCAGTGTCTTCAACTGGCAGTGAAAGGGCAGGGCCAGGCCAGCAGTTCTCAACTCCGGCCACTCCTTAGGGTCATCAGAGAGTTTTAACCCCATCCAAGAACAGCTGAGTGGGACCTCGGGAGGTGGGGCCGTGGCGACCACAGTAAGGACCCTTCCTGCAGCAACGTTCGCTGAGCCCGCTGCTTTCCCGCTGCTATAAGGCCAGCAGCCTCTGGGAGGATTAGGGGGTTCCCAGAAGCCCCTGCAGGGAACAGGGTTTGATACAGGCCTGGGGGCTGGTAGCATCAGTGGGACTAGAGGCGGAGGGCCCCAGGGACGCCTGTCAGAACAAAGGACCTGCACAGATAGATTCTGGGAGTGTAGGGGCATCTGGTGCCTGGCGGAGGTGAGGAACCCTCACGTGGGGGCGTTTCTCCTATATTTCAGGGGCTCTTGGAACGGGTGCCACATGAGGGGACCCAGTGACCCCACCACCACACTACAAACATCTCTAAGAAGATGGTCCAGCCAGACCCTGCCCGAAGGACCTGCTAGAGGGGGTCATAGGGAGGCTGGTGTGGAACAGGGGGAAATTGAGGATTCTTATTCTTTCTCTTTCATTTTTTAGGAAACCTAAACCTCTAGACTCAGCGTATTTTCTAACTCCACCTGTTTCCCCCACAGATGAATCTTCCCCCCACATCAGCAGATGCAGGCCTCTCTTCCTTCCTAGAACTCCTGCAGCACATGAGACAAGAGCATCACCCTAGCTCCGTAAGGTAATGAGACACATGGAAAACCACAACGTGTTTTTTCACTCTACTTCGTTTATTACAAAGTGCCTTGAGTGGCCAGCTGGGGCAATGCTCAGGGCACTGTGTGCAGAGAAGAAAGGATTGTACTGAGAGCCAGAAGGCTAGGATCTGGCCCTGGCTGTGCTGTGACATCCTGAGCAGGCCACCTGACCCCTCTGAGTCACAAAATTCCTCCCCTGTGTCACACCTAATTGGCCTCCTTTGCACAGTTTTTGGACAGGCTGAGTGAGAAAAGTGTGTGGAAGCCATTGACTTTACTCAAGTGCAAGGCATCGTGAGTGCCCTTGCATAACCCAGGCGTGTAACTCTATGCTGTTCAGAGACTGGTTGTTTCATGCTGGTCAGCTTCATTAAGCCCAAGTACATTATAAGCAGCTCCTTAAAGTCAGACTATGTACCTCCAATGCCTGGACATATGAATAATTCCAAAATCCACAAAACTCTGAAAACTGCAAGTTTTTCATGACTTATTTGGCCTCGTGTGGAGTCAAACCCAACTGAAAGGATGTGAGGCTATTTATAGTCGGAATGTATTCAACTTGGTGTAAATTTGCATACATTTTGCTGCAAAATTATTAATTTGTTTGATAGTGGTGCTGCCTCATACGAAAAATATAAGGCATATGCTCCATATTATCTAACACCCAAAAAACTGCGAATTCTAAAACACGCCTGGCCCCAAAGTGCTAGATAAGCAATTGTGGGTCTTTATAGATACTGGAGGCTAATTGTTGAAATTCTATTACCAAAGTGCTTATTGGAAAGATATACTTCCAGTTCTTAAAACAAGTATCCTGGATTTTCAGGGCCATTTCGGGCAGTAGCTGGACAACACCCCCAAAAACCCAAGCCATCTGACCTGACCCCTCGGGCCTCCTGCTGAGGGGTCTCCTAAAAGCCCCTTCTCCTTTGGGGGCTTTCGATCTCAGTATATTGTATTAGGGGGAGGGGTCACGCTGGCCAAGCACAAAGGCACAAGCGATGAGACCTGTAGATAAAGTCAAGAACTGGATCCTGGGGCTTGGGAATGCCACCCTGTCTGCTGGGGCTGGCTTTTTTTTGGAAAAATACAGCCATAATGAAGCTATATTAAACACGCACAAACTGTTCTAAATACACTTCATCGTACAATTTAACTTAGCAAAATTTTGGTAAAATGCCATCATTTTACTTTTAATCCTGGGACCTCTTTCCAAGGTTGGGAGTCATGAAATGAACGTCCAAAGGATCAGGACCCTGTAAGTCGCTCTCTCTTTGCCTAGAACTGCTTCCATATTGTTGCTCGTAAGAAAGTAGCAGCTGATTCGAGCTCCTTTGAGACCTTTCAGGATAATCTTGGAGGTAAAGGGGGGATGAAGGGGTTAAGTGGCTGATACAACCAGGAGTAAAGAGACGTGAATGATAGAAATAATATGGGGTGTTCGTTTTATGTGTTGCCTTTTTTCCTACTTTATCTGGTATTTACATAGCCTCACACCTCTATAATAAAACTCATAAGAAAGTGCAACAATTTTTTCTTGATTTCCTTATAAAGCCCAAAATCCTTCTAAGTATGATGTCCAAAATGGTTTGATTCAATTCCATAAACATTTTTAGAGTGTTGTTACATTTGTAATTTAATCAAAAGTGCTTTTGTATGAAGTATAGAACAGAACTGAAACACAGAGACAAGCAGGTGATAGGACCTCACCGAACGGGAGGAGGCAGACCCCAAGCTGAGAGCTGCAGAGCCCAGCCCTGAGGAGAGAAAGGGAATGGCACCCGAGAGGCGAGGCCAGGAGAGCAGTGCAGAAGGCAAGACAGGAGCCGTGGGCCCGGGCCTGTCCGCTGCACGGAGCGGGGGCAGAGAGGGCACCAACTGTGACTGCCCAGGGCCTTTACTCTCCTCATCTGGAACTGCAGCTGAAATGGCCGCTGGCCAGGAGTGACACCTGCGGGCCAAGAAGCCCACTCCATTCCACCAGGATGGAGAATGGCCATGGGCAAGGCCTTGCTTCAGCCACACCCACACCGGGCCATCATCAAATTAACAATGTCACTTTCTGAACTTAACTCAGCTGTGTGTGAGCTGAGCCACAATCCAACTACAGGTACCAGGAGTTCACAGAAACGGCTGCCTTGGAAATGACAGCAGGGTGTGACATGGGCAAGACAGGAACACAGCCAGGCTTGGCCTCGGGGAAGACTGGGTCTGCCTCTGGGCTCTGCCCCTCACTAGCTGTGTGGCTTGTTTCCAAGTCTGTAACACTGGATGAGGATATCGTGTCACAGGAGACCTGTGAAGGTCAACCAAGGTCACAGGTGAGGAGGACCTGCGTGTCTCAGTGAACGCTCCTTCCCCCCACCCTCTTTAGCCCTGGTCATCAGGAGGCGGGAGGTGAGGGGAGCTTCTTCCCTCTTCCTGGAGAGATGCGTCTGAGCTCAATTTTGAAAGACAAATTGCAGGTCTGCCTAGCAGACAAGAAGGGAGAAGGCAATTCTGTCGCAGAGAATAACCTGCGCAAAGACCCAGAGTTGCAAAGTAGCGCGGTGTGTTCAGAGAACCAGACACGGTTCAGGGGAGTGGAGACCAACTGAGGGCTAGCAGCAGGGTGAGACGGCTGGGGGTATCCTATGGAAAATGCCATTTCCTGGGTCTCCACCTGAAAAAAGTGCTCCCTACCCTCAAGGGTCAAGTCAGCCTTCCCCTGGGGCAGCCCCGCCTGCTGGTGGGGATCCTTGTCTCCCTCCTGCGCCCTCAACTCTCACTAAACAATCCACGTGAGTCACCTATGCATTCCCCTCCCGGTGGCTCCCACAATAGTATTTTCTACAAAACTGTGTCATTGAAATCTATATGAGATTTGCCTCTGCAAATTTGAAAGGCAGTTCCAAGCAGGAGTTCCAAGACATTTTGAACAATGGTATAATCATCAAATTTGGCATATAACCTATTGATTTTGGAGGGAGGGCTACATTAATTTTGGCTGTTTTTCTGGAGATCAGCACCCGGAGGTATAAGAGTGCCTCCACTTGCTGGCAGCCTGCGGGATGCAGTGTTTCACACCGGAAAAAGCAGGGAGTGGAGCCAGCCGCCCAGAACCCCGGCCGGGCCTGCCAGCTGCCACAGGGGAGTCAGGTTTATGACCTCATGTTCAGTGCCCCCATTACCTCGCCTGTCACAGGAGACAGTTTACATTAAGCTATATTTAGTGCGCTAAAAAAGACGTACAAGTGTAGTTCTTACAGACCTGCTCTTTGTTATCATCCTTTATGATGAAGTATTTTTGGCATTTGGGTCCATCTCTTCTTATGTAGAAGGTAAATCCATCCACTGTGGCTATTCTGGTCACCAGTGTGAGATGGGTCTGCAGGGTCTTTTTAGTAATCTAAAGTCTTTTAGTTGATCTTTTTGGTTAGTAGTCTGTGCCTACTAAACATAGAGAAACACTTAATCTAGCGTTTAAAAAAAATGAAGTTAAAGTACAAATTACCAGTTTACAAGCTAATTAAAAACTGTCGTCATGTTAGACACAATAGTGAAACTATTTTATTAGGTGCATGTCCCATTAAAATAGCTATTTTTTTAGCTCCATAAAAGCGATTTATTTACTTTAACTCTGTTTTTAAAATCAGACTTTAGCAGACTTTTCTCTGAATATGGGGAGGACCTACCTGCCAGCTTGAAGACAGGTACATTTCTGTACCCAAATGTATGTGCACACAAAATCTACAGGTATCAGGTTTTAAAATAAACTGAAAAAAACACACGTTAATCAAGTCTCATTGTAGTTAACTGGCATTTTTTAATCAATTACCGTCACAGCCGCCTCATGTTTCTTATAGATTGTGTACCCACGTGGAAACACACATTGTCAGCCTCCCCAGTTCTCGTAGGAAGCCTTCTTAGAGGTTACTTAGAATCTCTCCAGTTTGTCTCATGGTTCTCAGGCAAAAACAAAACCTGTCCACTCTAGTCTGGGAAACTGTTGACGGGGTCTCAGGGGTCATGCCTAAGGGCTGGGTTTTCCTTTGTGTGTTCGTTTTCGTTTTTAAGGAGCATTAAGCTCCTATGCAGTTAGCAACATTCATATCACACGATGGAATGCCTCTCCCGAGCAGTTACCCTGTGTCCTGTGGAATCTCAGAGCGATTAGCCAGCCCACCATGCAGGCCCTCTTGACCCCTGGATGGCTTAGAAGATACACATTCCAAACACAGCGGAAGCACTCAGGAACAGAGAGTCATTCACTGCTGTAAAATCTTTCTGGGTATGTGCCCTGGATGCTGTGGTCCCATTAAGGCCTTGGGTTTCTACCACAGCAAAGAAAGATAAGCCTGCCCTATTAAAAATGAATCCCTAATGTAGGCAACTGAATTAAATCTCATCAAGACCTAACTAGTCAAAAGGGAATTAAGGCTTCTGAACAACAGGGTCTGTGGGAATGTTTTTGAGATGCTTTGAACACGATACACTATGGTAGGGTTAAGTAGAATGAGTTGTTACTTACGGTTTTCAACATTGAAAAAACCACTTACTGTCAGGGTCTCAACTATCAGAGCGCACAGGGTCACATCCTGACCCCACAACACACTAACTGTGTGAATCGGGGCAAGTTACTTGACTTCTCTGGGGCTCCCTTTTGTCATCTGCAAATTGGGGCGAGTAAAAGCACACACCTCATAGAGGTCGTTGAGGGGATTAAGCGAAATGACAGGTGTAAACTCGGGAGCACTGTGCCTTCCCACAGTGAGCATCAACAGGCGCCCAGAGCGCACATCTCTGCCACTGCGTGAAGTGCTCTGCCTGCAGAACAGACGCCAGGCTTATAAATTATGAAGCGCAGAGTCACCTCGTCAGGCTGGCACAGCCTCCTGACACAGTTCCCTGGAAAAGTAAGGCTCCAGAAACCTCATAGAGAAGCCGAGCAGGGCGTTCGGATGTCTTGATTACGGGATGTCCTGAAAAGCCACAGCAAAACCCTAAGCTCAAAGACCCAGGGCTTGACTCTTTGCAACAATTCCAGTTGGCTCCTCCAGGGTCGCGGAGTGTGGCGGCCTCCCTCAGGAGGTGGGGTGGAGCCTGGGCGGACCAGCAGGCCTGACTCCCAGCTCCTAACCTGCTCCCCAGCTTTCTCCACAGGCTCCCCCACAGGCCAGCGATGCCACCTGCCGTGCTGGGGGGTCTGGGAACACACGCAGGCGTTCACCACCCCTCGGTAGGCTCTGCCAGGGAGAAAGAGGGCTCCCTTTGGCTCAGCTGCAGTCCTCCTTCTGTGCTCTGGCGTTGAGACTGAAAGCTAATGAGAGTCTGGAGGCCAGTCAGAAAAATAACAGCCCGTTTTATTATTAAGGATAAAAGCCAGGCAGAATGAATTGAAAGTGTTTGGGGAGCCGAGAGACAGAGGCGCAATTGAGCCAGTGTCCTGGGAGGCCACAATGCCGGCCTCTGGTGGAAGCCAGGGCCCAGCAGAGTCTGGGTTGCCGAGACTGGGGTCGTGTTCAAAGCTCGTTCTAGCTGAGAGCGTCCTGGGAGAAAGTGAGCCGGGGGTCTGCGTGGGACTCACATCAACACATCCAGAATGGAGAGGGTAGCAGGGGTGACAAGGCCAGTCCTGAGCACATGTGAGAAATGATGGCCCCCAACAGAGCGTCCGAATGATGCTCCTCAAAAATCAGCTCATCAGTTCAGTGAGACCACGTCAGAGAACTTTAGGGAGACAGACAGACGTGGTATTTCAAACCGTCCTCCTGGCAGTGGGAAAGGCTGAGAGCCATACTGTCGCTTCAGCCTCACGTCAGACTGAAACCAACCCCACAGGGCTGCCAAGGAGATTTACTGGTAGGGCCTCTAATCAGAATTGGTTTTAATTTATGAGGCGGAATGCTGGGAAAGTTGTGATTGGCAATTACTTAAATTATATTAGGCTATTTGATTTCCATTAGGCCTTTTCCCACTTAACCAAAGATAAATAAATGAAAAGTGGCATTGGTTTTTCATTTTAATCTAAAAGATTATTACGTTATTTTTTTAAACAGGTATTTTATCCTGGCCATTCTATTAATTTTTGTTCACTGTAATTAGTCAGTCAGCCCCTGCAAAACAGAGGGGAAAAAATCTTTATAAGTGAAAGGAATTTTTAGACGGGTTACTGAGAAAATCAGCGAGCTCTTGCAACTTAATGAAAACTTGGCAGAACTTCATAGTAACCGTGGGTAGATGATAGATAGATAGATAGATAAATGATTGAGCAGTAGTAAGGAGGGGATCAAGGATGTGTGTCTCACCTGCATTATGATCAATTCATGATGTCACAAGTCAGACAATTAAGGAATATGATTTTGTTTTAGCTTGTATGCTTCACTCATTATTTCTTTAATTTTTCCAATCTCACTCTTTTTTCAAAAAAATCATTTACTTTAAAACTTGTAGGGGCTGCCCCATGGCAAGTGGTTAAGCTGGCGTGCTCTGCTTCGGCAGCCCAGGGTTCAGATCCTGGGCGCAGACATGGCACCACTGGTTAGGCCATGTTGAGGTGGCATCCCACATGACGCAACTAGAAGGACCCACAACTAGAATATACAACTATGTACGGGGGTGGGGGTTGGGGAGAAAAAAGCAGGAAAAGGAAAAGAAAAAAAGATTGGCAACAGTTGTTAGCTCAGCTGCCAATCTTTAGAAAAAAAAAAAACTTGTATGCTATCACGTTTTGAAAACATACAATCTCAAAAGGCCCACCCACACGTAAGCAGTTAGAATGAAAACTTCCCATAGGTTCCTTGAAGATTTCTTAGAAAATAGATCACTTTTCACAACAAATGCTTAGATGGTCCCTGTTTTAGGAAGTGAATAATCAGTCCATGTTACAGTAGTTGCCGCTATCTTCCCTGTCGTCTTGGCTTTCCTTTGGGGCATTCCTGCCTTTATTCAAGTCTCCTGATGCACATAATTTCCCGAACCAACCCGAGAGACTAAGGAGCAGCCTCGTTTGGAATCAACTAATGAGCATCTGGGCCCAGGGCGCGCAGCAGCCCGCAAGCCCAGGCGTTTCTCTCCCTACCTGCCCGGCCCAGCTAGGAGCACTCAGGCCCTCCCCTGTTGGGACACTGCTGTCATCACGCCAGGACAGGGGTCCTCCGAGGTCCGAGCCGCCTCCGCGGCGAACTCCGCTCCCCTGAGCGCGCTCTGCCTTGGGTCCCGCAGACCGCGCCCGCGGGGAGAGCCGCAGTTTGGGGGCGCAGAGAAGCAGGGGCCCGACTAGCCCTCTGCATCGGGCTCAGCGAGGTGTAGTCCAGGCTGGAATCACAGAACCGCGACCCGAGAGGCAAAGGCATGGCCCCCGCCAGCCCGGAGACCCGCGCCCGCCCGCGCCCTGGCCAGCGCCCCAAGCCCCGCCGCCGGACACGAGACGCGGGCACCGAGGGGCTGCCCGGCTACTCGGAGCAGACCTGCAAAGTTTCTTTAGGAGCGCGGGCTCAGGGGGTGGTGGGAGGGCAGTCGGGCAGGAAGACTGTCTTGGGACAAAGGACCAATTTTGGAGAAGCGGGGAGAGACACTCCTGCGCGCCCTCAGGGAACTCCCGGGCAAAGTCCGCATTCGCGAGACTGGGTCTTGCGCGTCGGGCATTCCACGCAGCACCTCAGGACCCCTCCCCCCGTGGGAGCCACGTCCGCGCCCGAGTCCCAAGCTCCCCGGGCCCGCGGAGGGTTTCCCATCCCATGTGCCCCGGGGCGCGCGGCGCGGGGCGGTGCGGCGGCGGGACCTACCAACGCAGCCAGGATGCGCCGGCTCTTCTCGTCTGTGCAGCGCTCGGAGAGGACGCCTGGGTGCGCGCGGAGCAGCAGCGCGGCCGCCAGCACCCAGCCCGCGGTCCAGGCGGCGCAGGCCAGCAACGCACCCCGCCCGCACCTCCCGCACCGCCCGCGCCACCGGGTCCTGCCCCGCGCGCCCGCCGCCCGCGCCATGGCCAGCCCGGCAGTACCCCGATCCGCCGCCGCGCCCCGCGCTCGCCTCGCGGCTCCGCGCTCTGCCCGGCTCGGCGGGGGAGGGGCAGCGCGAGGGGAGCGCAGGCTCGGCGCGGGATCGCTGGCGCCCGGCGGGTCCTGGGGGTGGAGGGTGTCGGCGGCCGCATCCGGCGCGCCAGCCCCAGCACCCGGGGAAGGGGGTGTGGGCTCGCCGCTCCCGGGTACCCCCGCTGGACGCCCTGCTCCCCACGCCGCACCCGCCACCTTTTCCACTTTTTCTTCTTTTGCACCTTTTTCCCAAGAAGACCAGCTCCCCTCTTAAACAATCCGCGTAGATTCAAACTCCCCCGGGTTTAGACTGGCTCCTCTGCCAACACATCTTTAATTGAGACAGGATCTCACCCCTTCTCTGGGCGGCGCTCAGTGCCCCGCACTCGATCTTTTCACAGAACGCCCCCCTCCATTAGACCTCTGGTTACTCTCGGCGCAGCTCCGGCCCCCCCACCCCACATTTACCTCTCTACCAGACGCCCCTCCCTCCTCTGGGTCTGCCCGGACCTGAGTTTCCTCCGGGCCCTCCCCAGGGTGAGATCCCGAGCGTGCGTGGAGTCGGGGATCCGGAACAGTCTGCGGGCGTCGTGGCGACCCCTGGCCGCCGTTCCCAGGAAGCCTCCTGAATCCACCTGGTCTTTGGCTCCCAGGTTGGCAAAAACTCCAGGGCGTCCTTTTCAGAGGTAAAAAACGCCGCACTCTTTAAACATTTCCGCTTACGCCTGGCCAGGAGAAAGCGCTCGCTAGATGTGTCTCAATCTGTGTTTATGTGTATTTGTACCATCATCTGGGGGAGCACGCTTCAATGTTCAAATCGCAGCCCTCATAAAAAACGGGCGGGCGCCTGGGCCCACAGTGCTGTCCTGGTTCTTGCCAACTCTCCCCTCCCCACCCTGGCTGCTCCTCCGCTCCCTAAAAGCCTTTCTGCCTTGGAGAGTCCTCGGTGGGTGGTACGCCAGGAGGGGAACTGTCACAGCTGAACGCCTCTGAAAGCTCCCCGCCCTGGTGGCTCATGCATTCACTCTGCAAAAGCTTATTCAACTGCTGTTTCGTGCCAGCCGATCGGGGCTTGCGCTCCCGCCTGCGCTGCGCCTGAATTTCACACATGCGTCCCGAGAGTAGGGATAACAGGAGATGCCCCCGCCCTGATAATGGCTCGGTAGTTATCCCTCAGGAGCTAGCGTTTTAACCTTGTCTCTTCTGCAACTCGCCGGTTAACGGTCCATGGCTCAGTGGTAGAAGTCTCCAGGGATTATAAAACACCCGATTAACAAATGGCCACCCCTAGGGAGCCCTTTGGGTGCACCGCAGATATCCCCTAATGCAATAAGGATTGGGACCCTCGGGACCTGGGGTCACTCAGCCGACAGCAATAACGCCTGTTGGAGTTCCTTCTGTCTCACCAGCTCCCCCCCTCACCCGACCCCCCAGGGCACGCCAGCCAGAAGCACTACTGGGAATGTTTCCCAGGCTGGCTGTATCAAAACTTGGTCGTCTCATTACAAAATAGTTGTGAAGCACAGAGACATCCTAGGACGCTGCTGTAAAATCTTGACTTGGTGCAAAGTTGATTCCCTTTCCCCAGAATTTTTTGGGGTGTGGGGGAGTGTGGTCGTCCGCAGGATAGGCAGGAATAGGAAGGAGAATGAGATAAAAGAAGTGTGAACATAGTCGTGTAAAACCTAGGGATAAAAACTGCAGGGGGAAAGCAGAACTTAAAATCAAAATGAACAACACTAGGATTTGCAAAGTAGCTTTTACTTTTGTAAGTTTTAAAAATATGTTGATAATCACACTTCTTTTGGCATTTTATAAAGAAAAGTATACAGAAGAAAAAATATTATAATCCCACAGTAAAGAGGTCCTTTAAACATTCAGCATTGCTTTAATACAGAAGTTATAGTACTCTCTGGAGCCAAAACGAAATCCTTAGACTGCAGGGCTGCCATCCCATGGTGTGGCTGGCACGGCAGCACAAAGCCCTGGAGAGGTGATGGGGCTGAAGTCCACCAGCTCTCCACCCACCAAGCCCTTTTCCATCAGGGGGAACGCCTTTTGAAATTATCTGTCCACAGGGGCCTTTTCTGGGTGTTCACATGAAGGTGCCTTACAGGCCAGCTGGATGGCTAAAGATACTCCTCTAGAGCAGCAAAAAAATAACAAATAAATAATTACATTAACAACAAAATGTGAAGCTTTGGCTTGACGACCAAGAAGAAATGAGTTTGGTCTCATCTCCCAGGGATCCTGCTTGCTGCACATTGCTGCCACCAGCACAATTCTGCGATTCTGCTGTGTAATTCCGAATGACTGGCAGCCTTCATGGGGCCTCGCAGGGAGCCCGCAGGTCAGGAGCAAGGGAATGGGCAGAGCTGGGGGAGTGGCGTGGCCCTGTGCCAGCTTCGCGTCCTGATTTGAACAGGTATGACTCCTTAAAAGAATTGTATGAAATCCAGTAACTCTTTTCTCTCCTTCTTTTCCCAAACTATGAAAATTGAAGTCGTAATATTAGAAATGGCTGAGTACAGTGATCCCTCCAATCATACTTAATTTACACAGAAGTTCACCAGGAAGTTTTCCTTTGTCTTGAAGGAGACGGAAATTTAGCTCTGTATAACCACATGGCGCAGAAATCCTGGCAGCAGATGAAAGGCACCGGTGTTCTAGAGTCCAGGACCAGTGCCCCATGCCAGGGCTCAGGCACCCCCCACATCAGAGCAGAGGGAACGTCGATGTAATCAAGTTTGTATGTTTCATTAAACACTCAGACCAGACTGTGCCTCTTCATTTATTTTTTCCGTCAGACTAGAGGCTGTGTGAGGGCAAGGACCGTGTCTTATTTTCTGTTGTAATCCCAGCATCTAATCCGGCACCTACTACGAAGGACGTCCTTAAATATCTGCTGAAGAAATGGGTGGAATACATATTTCTAGCACATCGTCTAAAAGATCAGAAAACTTTGAGCACCCTGTGGAATTTTTCTTGAGAAAGTGCTTTTATAAGATAAATATTTCTTTCTGATTTCCTGAGGCAAATTGAACAATCCAGACACATCGCAGGGTTAAGAATACGTTTGAACATATCCTTTGGGTTCTGAACTCATCTATTGGCAGTTGAACTTGTCACTGAGAACAGAATATGAATATTTTGCTTATAGGCCTTTATTGGAATAAAAAGTAAAATTCTATAGTTTTTATTCTGACTATACCAGACAACTAGGGTTATTAGTGCTCAATTCTGCTACATTTTTACATACATAGAGCTTATAAAAATATTTTTCTTCCTAAAAGGACTTTAACAACAATAAATATACCTATGTTCGTGTCGTTCTTGATATATTCCTGTACATTATCCCAGCGACCTGGCAGGGCAGATTGAACGAATGTCACCAGCTAATACTTCACGGCCAAGGGCATGGCCTTTTTATATACTCTGTTAGTGGGAGTGACAGGGTGAGAGGCCCACTCGCCTGCTTCTAGGTTTGATATTCTAATTCTTATTTCGACGTTGGAATTGCTCGCTCTATAAGTGAGACTGTAAAATGTTTAACCGTGTCACAACCATTTACTGAAGTATCCTGCCCCATGCCAAGAAAGTTTCAAACATTCGTCAGCTTTACCAGCCATTTGCAAAAGTTATCATCAGAACAAGATTTTAACTCACGCTTAGCTTTGTTACAATCTCTCTTGCCCATCCGGCGGTGGCCACCACATTTGTGCAATGGCGAAAGTCCAGAAAAGGGGAGGCTGCCTTTCAGAAGCGGGCAGGTTTCCGATCACCTGTGGGGTTATGGGTGAGGGAGGGCAAGCCTGAAGAAAACAAGTGGTAGCCAAACTCCCCTCCCCACTCAAAAAAAGTCACTGCTCAAACACATGCCACCTTTCTGAAGAAAGGTCAACTACACCATCATTTGGGGTTACTTTATCCAGATCCTTCTCTTACTTTTCTCTTACGTGAGATTAGCCCTATTTTCTTTTTTTTTTTTTTTGAGGAAGGTTAGCCCTGAGCTAACTGCTGCCAATCCTCCTCTTTTTGCTGAGGAAGCCTGGCCCTGAGCTAACATCCATGACCATCTTCCTCTACTTTATACGTGGGACGCCTACCACAGCACGGCGTGCCAAGCGGTGCCATGTCTGCACCCGGAATCCGAACCGGTGAACCCCGGGCCGCCGAAGCAGAACGTGTGAACTTAACCACTGTGCCACCGGGCCGGCCCCAGCCCTATTTTTAAATGAGAGTTTTGTTTGGAGTGGAAGGAGAAGTTATTTCACAGTTTGGTTCTAGGCTGGGTGGGGGATCCGGGTATGGGTCTCTCTGGGAGTCCTTTACAATCAGAGACCGGAGTTCCAAGAGGTGAGGAGACAGGAGCTTAGAATGGTGAAAGGAAGCGTGGCTTCTAGCAAAATTTTACTGAGAGTCCCAAAATCATCTAGTTTATAAAGCTCAATAACTGTTTTACCCTGATTCAGGAGAATTAAGGATTCTTGAAGGACACAGGCAAAGATGTAGTGTCAGGATACTCTTTACAACACAGTTTATAACAGCAACAAGTTGGAATTAACCTAAATGTGTGTAATAGGGATTGGTTCAATAAACTTCAGTCATCCACACATGGAAAAATGTATACTGTCACCAAAAATTGTGACATGAAGTCTACGTTGATAGGAATGGGATCATAGGAGAAGTTGTCATTATTCTTTGCCCTGCACCCTTCCCTTCTCATGGCACACCCCATGTTTCCTTGGGGAATCACATCCTTTCATGCTCAGTCCCTGTGGCTTGTCCCCATCAGCAGTGGGGGTGGGCTTGTGAGACAGCCTGTTGAGGAGAGTGTCAATTTTCCCAGCCGTGGGGCTGGTTAGGGGCCAACCAAGCTCCAGGGGGCCAATGGGACAACGAGAGCCAAAGGGACTCAGTTCTCAGCCTGTGTTGGAACAACTGAGAAAGAGAAG